AATAGTATAAGCCTAATGGCCCAGATTGAATCTGGGCCGATCTGATGGCCGAGAGTGTTTGAATTTTTAAATTTTTTTTTTTACAAATCCGAATCATTTGAATTTTAGATGAACATTCTTTTCATCTGAGTTTTTGGGCCAACTTACTAGATACTCAATACTGGTATTAGATACGACACCCGTGTCGGTGTCCATGTAACGCTGATTTGTACTATTAGTAGATTTCCTCTATCTTATCTTTATCGAACTGATGGAAGGTAAAGATTAGGTTTGGTTAATGTAGTTAATGCATGCTTGGGTAATTAATTGGGATAAGATTAGGAGTTTGCGTGTGAAAGGAAAGTTCATCTAATATCTATAAATAAACAACATAATATCTTTTGTACTGAGAAAAATTTTAGAACTTTTCTTCCTAGTTTGAATTGTATTCCTTCTTAACTTGAGGGTGGTACATTTCATGCCCAAGGAGGTTAATTTGGGCTATTTTAAGTAGAATTAGAGGCTAGTCTACTCTTGTCTATGGGATGTGATTAATAACATTATCTGACTACATAAAACGGCTTTGGTGGGATTGCTCCAAAGAAGGTTAAAAACAATTGTTTCATGAAATGACTATTATATGGCTAATGAGTTCAACTTATCAACATAATAAAACGAAAATTTTTATCAAAATACACCTAAGTTTTTAACAAATTAGCGGGTTACCTTTTTTCCAATTGCTCCAACTCATTGTCATGTGTATTTTTATGCATATTTTAAATTTAAATCAAAAGATATGGGTAAAATATTGAATAGTTGATCTCTTATACGTGTTTAGGTAGATTTCCCTAATAAAAACCATCATACAAGTGTCCTCACAATCTGGATGTTGGGTCTTCGTTCATATTAACAATATAATACTTGAAAATGGAAAATAGCGTAAATAAGGGTTGCCTTTTCAAATTTTAGAATCTAGCTGTAATTATTTTGTGAAAGAGACCATTTTTTGAACAATTAAAACAAATCATTGTCCAAATATATCCTGGTGATTTTTTCCATTATTTTCCTTTTTTCTCATTTATTTCCAATGTTTGCTTTTTAGTCCCACTTTTCCTCTTTTATTTTTCTTCAAAACCATTTTTCTTTGGACAAATGTTGTTACCACTGCCAAATGCCTGTGAAGAATCTCAGGTTTTTCTGAAAAAAGATAGTGTCTATTAATCAATATGAATATGCAAATTTGTCTTAAATAAACAAATACATATAACAATAATAGAAATAAATCACAAACACCTATATTATATCCAGACTAACCATAAAAATACAAGATATTGTATGTACCCTTCACACATATATATTGATTACAATATACACCTTCTATATTAACCTGATAGACAATGTATGCTTTCATTTTACAATGGCAACAAGCCAGCCAGAAACTGTTATGTTGTACCTGGCTCCTGGTTAGAACAGCGGGGCAATTTGATCTATGTTTCTTCTCTTTACATAAATTTTCGGCTTATTAATGTCAAAAAAGGATTTCTAGGTCCCTTAAATAGTTTTATAGGGTTGTTCTCGACATCTTTCAAATTTTAACGGCCTCTTAATACCATGTTTGTTTGTCCAAAACCTTATGATTCACCTTGGGCATGCAAACTGAAAGAAAGGAAAAAAGAGAGGTAGGAAAACTATGCAATGCTACTCACAAGGACAATGCCCTTTTGACACTACATATATTTTTTTTTTCTTGGGTAATTTAGTGGGGAAGATAGGCCTTATCCATTATTTCAAATAGTTTGGGAGTTAGTTTTTCGAAAGTGTTAGTGGTGTGGTATCAATCGGAATAGAAACAACAACCTAGGGACTAGGATGTGGGGTGCTACCACCACGACCCTAACGCCTTTACAAAATGAAAAATTTCAATTACATTTTTTGACATTATTTCTCTATCACATAAAAACATTTCCAAACAAAGTTATTCAAAAGAAAAGGTTCTCAACATCTACCAAACAAACCATGAAGATCATAAAACTCAAGTACAAGAACAATTGAAAACAAAGCACAAGTTGAGGCAAGAGGCCCAAGCCAAATGACCACAGTACCGTTATTTGAAGGATGACATTATTGGGGTTAAGAGCCACTGAAACATAAGGCCCATGGATCGAATCCCAGCTGATGTACCCAAACAAAAGAAAAAGGCTAAGATTCTTCTCTCATTTCTTATAAAGCCCATGTGAGATAGCCAAAAGAGCACAATCTCTTGCATGAAACCCAATTCTCTCATCACTTAGGTCATACACTACCTCCACATTTTGTTGTTGAAAGCTGCCAAGAACTCCCGCAGGACCATAGGAATCATCTTCCATTCCTTGCACCAGCAAGCACTTGACAATGTAAGTTCCATTAGAGGGAGCCATGGCATAGAAATAGTTCTCCTCAGGCAAGGTCAGAGTCACATTGTTCACAAAGCGAAATGAAAGTGAAGGAAGGCTCTCTGTCACTGCTGTAGGAACTTGGTAGCATAGGCCGAATCCGGTCTTCCTCTCATGCTCCACCGATCTCGGGTGTGTTATCTTGGACCCCATAACTGATAGGAACTTTGTGAACAAGGCTTGAGGAAGGTGCGTGTATGTCGTGCCGGAATCTACAAGCATGCCCCCGTTTCCTTGAGAATTGATCTCTCTAAGGATTTGGGGCACCTCCAATATTTCCCCTCCTATGAAAATGGCCTCTAGGCCTACATAGTAGAAGCTTGGGTACATGGGACACTTCAACATCGGTGTGAATTGTACCTCTTCTCTAGAGGCAATGGCTGAGTCCCCTATGATCAAAGGGGTAGAGATGTTGGGCTTATTTGAAAACTTGAAGCTCAGGAAACAATGGGAGAAGCCTTTATGTAGGAACCCTAACTGTGAGGGGAGTGAGAGTGCACCCTTACCAAATCCTACAATCCCAATGGGCTCCATATAAGTTGAAGCCACACAACCAAAGCAAAAGTCAGGGACATCCTTTGTTACACTTTGGTCACTGCCATGGACCATAAGGGTGTCCCTTGTTAGGGTTCCCAATACAATGCCATCACCGTAAGTGTAAGTGAAGGGAGGACAAGGCCTAGAGCACATGCCTCTCAATATGCTGCCGAGGAAGCAACCGGTCATGGCACATGGGTCGTAAGAATCGTCGGAGCTATGAATGGTCACACAGAAATGACTATCACATACATCACGGGAGCAAGAAGACGAGAGAGAAGGAGAGAACGAACCCATTACCCTATCGCCCCGATTATCTTTGCAGTTTATGCACTCGAAAGAGAGATTTCCACAGGGAACCCATGTTAGATCACTCCCGGTGTCCATATAGACTTGCATGAGCTGTGGAGGGGTCCCTAAACTAAGTGAAAATAGGTAACCATCCCTGTATCCTCTCACAGGCTCAGACAAGTCTGTTGTGGAAAATGGCCTTAGTGGCCTTGCCATGGGCTCATGAGAGTCTTTGTAATGGGTAAGCCCCAAGACAAGGCCATTGCATGGCTGAGTAAATGAGAAGAAGAGAAGAAAGAGGAAGAAACTATAATCTAGCATCATATTACTATTAGACGTATGTACAATGACACCAACTACAGTGGGTTGGCAGATTTCAAATAATCTAGTGTTCCAAAGACTCGGAGCAATAGTCAAATAGTTAGAGATATGGGGTGGCCACTCTTATAACACAGGATGAGAGAGAGAGAGAGATTCTCAAATTGAGAGAGAGTTAAAGATTCTCAAATTGAGAAGGGGGGAGAGAGTTTCTCAAATTTTTGTGGTTTTAAATTTGTGAATGCATGAGGGTGTACTTATAGGGGATTTAAGCAGGAGAGAGAGAGATCTATTTAGAAGGGTTTTAAGCTTGATAGGGGAAGAGAGAGAGAGAGAGAGATTCCCTATTTTTCTGGTTTTAAGGTCTATTTATAAGGAGATTTAAGCAGGAAAGAGAAAAAGAGATGTTTATAAGGGTTTTAAGCTGGAGATAGAGAGAGATCTATTTATAAGGGTTTTAAGCTTGAGGGGGGAGGTAGATTCCCTATTTTTTGTGGTTTAAGGGTTATTTGTAGGGGGGTTTAAGCAGAGGAGAGAGAGAGAGAGAGAGAGAGAGAGACAGAAATTCCCTATTTTTTGTGGTTTTAGGGTTGTGAATGCATGTGTGTGCCTTGATAGGAGGCTTCAATCAAGGGACTTATCCCATGTTTTTGTGGGGTGTACTTTGAGAGATTATAAAATGTGAGTTCGTGCGGTGTGATGAAGACCACTACGATTAGGACGTGGGCTTGGGAAACATACATTGGATGGAATCATAGAGAAACAACAAAAGCCTTGCAACCAAAATCCGTACGGCATGAACTTAATTTCCATGAAAACAAAGAATAAAAATTAAGAAATTGATAATAACAATAAAAATTGGCCACCTTTTTAGGATTATCAAAATGCCCTTGAACTTATATTATTGGAGCCCCTAGAACATATTCCTGAAGTACTTTATAGATGAATGCCCTTATTTCACTCTTGTAGTCCATATTTTTATTGGATTGTATATTATGAGACCATTTACCACTAGTACAAAGAGGTTAAAATCAATCACAGCCATTACATGTCAAATTTGATGGTTTATAGTGTGTCACTAAGTTCAAAATTTTAAACTTTGAACTTTGAGTTGTCAATGATATACTTGCAACCATCCGATTTAAAATCTAATGGACATGAGTAATTGACTTCTTTGTACTAAAAGTAAATATTCTTTTTTGTATATTTTTCCTATTTTTATATACCCAAAAAAAAAGTACGTATTTTTACTCATGGGTTCATCACTATGCACTTACTTTTTCAAAAAGAATACTGCTTGAGAAGATTTTTTAATTTAAAATTTTGGGAACCACCAAAGAATCAGTAGATGATTATTTTGAACTGTAAATTTTGGAGTTCTCTAACATTTTGATCCCACCGTTCAAAAACTAGATAATCTCTTTTCAATTTTGCGACATTATTTTTGTCAAGCCAATAGAGATTTCAATTTAGAAAATCACGGTTAGTCTATGGGTTGAAGATGTTACATTCTCAAAAATTTAGGGTCCTAAAAGTTTTCTTGATTGGTTTTAACCTAAAAGGAGTAAATAAGCAAAAAAAAAAAAAATTGGGGTAAACCAATGGGGATTGGGGTCAAGTAAATAAACGGTTTACTCCCACGGGAGCAAAAAATCTTTCAGCTTAACTCAATGAAGTGTTGAGTTTTCATTGGATAACACTTTGGAATCTAAACGGGTATGCTTAAAGCTTGGCTCTTATATTAAAGCATTATTAATCCCTAACTAAAGCATCATTTTTGTAATAAGAAGTCCAAATCCAACTTGGATCCTAATCATAAAACCTAAGTGTGCACTATACATTCAAAATCACAAGACAAACTTTGGACTGTCCTATGCATCTCATCTCATGTAGCATTTGTGCATCACACATGTCAATGCCAATGAGCACAAATCAGGGAACTTGGTTCTTATTGTGGAAGGTCATAAAGAGTAGTCCAAAAGACACCATTAGAACATGGTGACAAGAACAAGTGGGCATTTCCCCTTTTTTTTTCTTATCTCATTTCTTTTTTGCTATCACCATAGTGCTTTGGTCTTAGATGCCTAGGGGGCTATCTTTTTCAAAGAAGGGAAATTTAGTGGATTATTTGGGTTAGGTCTAATAAAAGAAAATTTTAGTGGATTATTTGATAGCTCAAAAATTGCTAATTATAGCACGGAAGGTTACAAGTAGCATAATGTCTAGGATTTATAATAAAAAGTAAAGCTGTACCTAAAACCCCATTAGAAAAAATAATTCCGGCCCTTGAAACCCTTATTATGACCTGAAAACCTTTAATGAAATTTGAAGCTCCAAAAATAATGTAACTTGACGCATTTATGAACACTTGAAAAATAATGTGTTACGAGATGCAAAACTTTTTTTTTTTTTTTCAATGTCGTTGCAAGATTTGAGCCATTTGCTACGTCCCTAGGCCAACCTTTTCCCAACCCAAAAAGTCTGTCTAAAGATCCATTAAAACCATGGTTCATATTTAAGATCTAACTCTAGTACATGCCTTGAAGGGCACCAAAAACCTAGAGAGGAATTGGGCCCAAACAGTTCCCAAAACCTAATGTGCATTGGTAACCCTAGTTACATTTTGACTAAGGTTGCCCGTTGCCTTGAGCCTTACCATTTGTACCAGGCAACCCGGTTGTCATAAGCAAGGTCGTCCTGCTTCAATTTAACTTTTTGGACGGTGGTAATTTGGGGAATGCTTGGTATTAGTGAAGTAGAGGTCGCTTGGATTCATAGCCGAGCAATTGTAGGGGCGGCAATCGGATTGAGTCAACCCATAGTACCTGGGGATCAACTCAAACCAGGTCCAGGTCTCGGTCCATGTCCATGTTTAGGATCCAGCAGGTCGGGTGCAGCATGGGCCCCATTGGGTATGGTACGGGTCTGTGTCCGAGTTCAGGTCCATGTCCAAGTTGACATGACCTGATCTGCATTGGAGTCTACAAGACGATCGGACTTGAACCGAGTCTAGGTATGGGTCCAAAAATTGGACCCGATGGATCGGGTCCAAGTTCAAATATTGGACACAAATACTATTCGGATCCAGGTCCATGTGGACCCGACTCGAATATTATTATTATTTAAATAATATTTAATATATAATATTTAAATGAATATAACCATATATATTTAGTTATGATATTTAAATTATGATTATGTTAGGATACTCGCACTATAAAAGCATTTTATAATTAATTTTATAATTATACTCAACAAACTTTGAACACTTATACTCTTGTTTTGTATATAGAGTATTGGTTTAGTATGGGTATTTTTTGTCATTAAGAAGGGTGTGATATATATTTAACATAATCTTTAAAGGAAAAAGTTTATATAAGGTTGCAACCTTAAAATGTAGAATTACATATACATCTCAAAAATATATCAAAAATTTTGTTTTAATGTTGAAAAACCCTCTAATTGATCATCTCAATATTTAGATCTATAAATATGAAAAAAAAAATCAAGTTTTTGAGTCCTAAAAATTGTGCATCTTGCAACACATTATCTAGACTGCTCATTTTCAAGACTTTCATACGTTATATATCTACTTGATTTTAACCATTTTTGGAGTTTAAAATTTCTTAATTAGATATGAAAATAGATTTTACGATACTCCTAAGAATACCTTTGAACAAAGTTACATGTTATGATAAAATTTGGATGTGCGCCTTAATTGGATTGTTTAAGGTTGTAACCTTATAGAAACCACACCCATCTTTAAATATATTGAAATATATGTTTTTTTTTTGTTTTTTTTGAGTCTGGTCCAATCGAGTCTGGTCAGGTCTGTGTCCATAAAATTTTTGGAGTTCAGGTCCGACCCGGACCCGACCCATTGCCACCGCTACACTAGGTGAGATCCTCCTCACCATCTCTGGCACAGTTAGTGTAAGTGATACCTTTTTTTTTGAAACAAAAGCTACTCATTAATGCAACAGTCCAATAGAAGTTGGGGCTTCTCCATTCTAATCCAAGGCAACTGGGCGAATAAATCCGACCCCTATTTTGGTGGTTCAAAACCTCTTACAATAAAATTTCCCAACAGTGGCACGATCATTCAGTCTCCTTAAGTTATAAATGGAGAGAAGTGAACTCAATGGCTGATACACTATTTTATGTACAACCACATTGATACACTATTTTAGGCCAACACTTTGTGGCTAACAACCTACACTAAACCATAGTAATATGCACAAGCTTACATCATTCATCCAAAGAGTTATTTTCCCACCAAAAAAAAAAAAAGCCAAGGTGTTTGCCATAGACTTGTAGTGCAGATTTTATGACGATGACTACATATGGTTGAAGCTTTTGTTTCACGTAGTGGTTTCAAATAGGAAAAGTGACCATTTACTTTTTATACAAGGTGGTCACAATAATCTTGACCATTGGATTTAAAGTTGGTTGGCTGCAATCATTCCACTGACCAAGCTCAAACTTCAAAAGAAATTTTATTGAACTTTGTGATATATCCAAGCTCTCAAATTTCACATCAAATAGTTGTAAAGAATTGTGACCACTTTGTATAAAAGGTTAATGGTCTCATTGTATACAATCCCTTTTAAGTAATAACACTAAATCGTCTTGAAAAATGCTCCCTTAATATACTCAAATGAATACACTTTGACTGGATTTGAAGCAATTCTTGTAATTGAAAATCAAACCAACACGTGTTGATGTGCGAGATTTTAAGGAGTTTGTTAACTTATTGGCTCTATCAGTTAAGCATGCTGCCCTGTGCCGACATATCTTGATCAAATGGATGCCATCTTTTGATGAGAAGTCTTTTGAAAATGAAATTTGGTAATAGCTGCTAGAGGATTCTAAAACAAATCAAATGGTCCAAGTCGCAC